GAAGGCTCTCCCGGCCACCACCGACGCCTGAGCTTCAAGTGTAAGAGATGAGTCCAGGAGGACACCCAAACTGCGGACCTGTGACTTCAGGGGGAGTGTAACCCCGTCCAGCACAGGTTGCCACCCTATACCCCGATCCGGTTTACGATCGACCAGGAGGACCTCTGTCTTGTCGGGATTGATCTTCAGCTTGTTCCTCCTCATCCAGACAGCCACAGCGGCCAGGCACTCGTCCAGCACCCGAGGGGCTTCCTTGGAGTTAGGTGGAAAAGAGTAGTAGAGTTGCCAAAGCTGTGCCACGTCTCTTTCCCCCTCGCTCTCCAGATCACCTACAGCGCAACCACGGAGGCCCTGAGCAGCCCCAAAACCTTCCCGGTGGCCTTCCGCACCATCCCCAGCACAGAGCAGCAGATCACCTTGTTGCTGAACCTGATGAAGTACTTCCGGTGGAACTGGGTCATCGTGCTCTCCAGCGAAGACGAGTACGGGCAGCAGAACGCGCAGCTGCTGCGCAGCAAGATCGGGACGACGTATTCCGAGGTGGGGACATATATCGCATGACTCTCTCTGTGGTTAAGGATTCTATGACCCTTTCACATTGCGCAATTGAAATTTGAAATGATGGAATTGAACCAAACTTGCCACACAGAATTCCCTATGAGCCCACGAGGACCTTGAGATCATCTGGGGAGGCCCTTCTCTCGATCCCGCCTGCTTCACAGGCACGCCTGGCGGGGACGAGAGAGAGGGCCTTCTCGGTGGTGGCCCCCCGGCTGTGGAACGACCTCCCTGTTGACATCAGACAGGCGCCCTCCCTTTTGTCCTTCCGCAGGAGCCTAAAGACCTGGCTTTTCGAGAAGGCATTTAACTGAATATTACGGCAACTGTTAATTGACATCTGGAACGGAATATGGACTACGATATTGGATATGATTCTATGATATGACGGAGCGGATTATTTAGTATAACTTATAGTATTGTGTATTATTGTTGTGTGGATTGCTTGTTTCTGTTTTGTATACTGTTTTTATATGCTGTACACCGCCGCGAGTCGCCCTAGGGCTGAGAGCGGCGGTCAATAAATGCACCAAATAAATAAATAAATGACCAACAGAAAATACCGGGAGGGGTTTGGTGGGCATTAACTTTGAGTTTGGGAGTTGTAGTTCACCTACGATTCCTCTCTAAAGTGTATATATATGTACCTGTTCCAAACAAATTCAACTTAGGAACAAATCTACAGAATCTCTCTTCTTTATTTATTTATTTATTTGCTTTATTTCTATACCGCATTTTTCAGCCCTTAACAGGCGACTCAATGCGGTTTACATGGTACAATTATCAAACAGTGTCCGTGCAATTAAAACATAACAATGCAACAAACAGGATCAACAGCATCAATCCACAACAGTTAACAATCAACAAGACAGATCAACAAAACAGACATAACATAACGCCTCAGTTGAAATCAGATCCGTTCTCATAATCCTTGTGCCATTCCTATGTTCCATTTACCGTCTTCCTATGATTGGTTGCACTGCTTAACCAAACGCTTGTTCCTAAAGCCAGGTCTTAACCATTCTCCGAAATGTCAGCAGCGAAGGTGCCTGTCTGATGTCTGCCGGTAGGGCATTCCATAGCCGAGGGGCCACCACTCAGAAGGCCCTGTCTCTCGTCCCCGCCAAGCGCGCCTGTGACGCAGGCAGGATCGAGAGCAGGGCCTCCCCAGACGATCTTAATGTTCTAGTCGGTTCATAGGTGGAGATGCGTTCGGAGAGGTAAGCGGGGCCAGAACCGTTTAGGGCTTTATATAGGCTAAAGCCAGCACCTTGAATTGTGCCCGGTAGCGGATTGGCAGCCAGTGGAGCTGGCTCAACAGAGGAGTGGTATGCTCCCTGAGTGCCGCTCCCGTTAGCAACCTGGCTGCCGAGCGCTGGACCATCTGAAGCTTCCGGGCAGTCTTCAAGGGCAACCCCACGTAGAGCGCGTTGCAGTAATCAATCTTCATATCTTGGGGCCCCTGGGCCACTGTCTGTAAGCTTGGGCCACTGTCTGTATCTGTAAAGCAGTGTTTCTCAACCTTCTTGATGCCGCGACCCCTTAATACAGTTCCTCATGTTGAAGTGACCCCCAACCATAACATTATTATCATTGCAACTTCATAACTGTAATTTTGCTACTGTTACGAATTGTAATATCTGAGATGAAGAATGTAGTTTCATTCACTAGACCAAATTTGGCACAAATACTCGATATGACCAAATTTGGATACTGGTGGGGTTGGGGGGGGATTGATTCTGTTATTAATAATAATATAAAAGGTATTTGGTATATTAATAATAACAGAATCAATCCCCCAACCCCACCAGTATCCAAATTTGGTCATATTATTAATACCATAGGAAGGATTTGGAATTTTTGGATGCTTGTTAGAAGTATTATTTTTTCATTATTATTATTATTATTATTATTATTATTATTATTATTATTATTAAGCAATAATATTATTAGTGATACTATTACTATTATGAATAATAATAATTATTAAGTATTATTATTATTGATACATAATAATAATATTCCAAATCCCTTCTATATTATTAAAACGAAAAACTATGGGGTCAGTTTCGTTTCTGAAACTTATCGCCTACGTATCGGATATCGCCTCGTAAGTATGAATTTAACAAATTTGATCCGAATTACGAGGACAAACGAAAGTAATGCACACCCCATATATATCTATATATATAAAATGCTCTGTGCATCATGAGTAACTTAAAAACAAAAGAACCAATGAACGAAATCACACCAAATTTGGCAATAAAGCGTCTCACAACACAAGGAGTGGCCATCACTCAAAAAATTATGATTTTGTCATTTGGGAGTTGTAGTTGCTGGGATTTATAGTTCACCTACAATCAAAGAGCATTCTGAACTCCACCAATGATGGAATTGAACCAAACTTGGCACACAGAACTCCCATGACCAACAGAAAATACTGGAAGGGTTTGGTGGGCATTGACCTTGAGTTTGGGAGTTGTAGTTCACCTACATCCACTGTGAACTCAAACAATGATGGATATGGACCAAACTTGGCACGAATACTCAATATGTCCATATATGCCACTGGTGGAGTTTGGTGGAAAACAGACATTGACATTTGGGAGTTGTAATTGCTGGGATTTATAGTTCACTTACAATCAAAGAGCATTCTGAACTCCAGCAATGATGGAATTGAACCAAACTTGGCACACAGAACTCCCATGACCAACAGAAAATACTGGAAGGGGTTTGGTGGGCATTAACCTTGAGTTTGGGAGTTGTAGTTCACCTACGTCCAGAGAGCATTGTGGACTCAAACAATGATGGATCTGGACCAAACTTGGCATGAATATTCAATATGCCCAAATGCAAACACTGGTGGAATTTGGGGAAAATAGACCTTGACATTTGGGAGTTGTTGTTGCTGGGATTTGTAGTTCACCTACAATCACAGAGCATTCTGAACCCCACCAATGATAGAATTGGGCCAAACCTCTCACACAGAACCCTCATGACCACCAGAGTGGGCCACAGCAACACGTGGCAGGGGATGGCTCGTAATAATATGAAAATATATTAATGATCATCATATAATAATATGATAAAATCATAATAATATAATAATACTAATGTAATGGTAATGGTAATAATATGATAATGATAATAAAAATACAATAACAATATAATATATAAGAATGATAATATAATAATATAATGATAATATGTTAATATAATAATGTAATAGAATGATAATATAATAATGATGATCATATAATAATATGATAAAATCATAATAATATAATGATACTAATATAATGATAATATGATAATAATGACATGATAATGATAATAGAAATACAATATTAATATATATAAGAATGATAATATAATAATATAATGATAATATGGTCATCTATATAAATAAAAATGTAATGTACTCAATATGTCCAAATATATGCCACTGGTGGAGTTTGGTGGAAAACAGACATTGACATTTGGGAGTTGTAATTGCTGGGATTTATAGTTCAAGCAAAGAGCATTCAGAACCCACCAACAATAAAATTGGGCCAAACTTCCCACACAGAACCACCATGACCAACAGAAAATGCTGTATTGTTGAAGGCTTTCATGGCCAGAATCACTGGGTTGTTGTGGGTTTTTCCGGGCTATATGGCCATGTTCTAGAGGCATTTTCTCCTGACGTTTCGCCTGCATCTATGGCAAGCATCCTCAGATATATAAACCCATTTTCCTACTTCCAACAGACCTCACTTCCTCTGAGGATGCTTGCCATAGATGCAGGCGAAACGTCAGGAGAAAATGCCTCTAGAACAGTGTTTCTCAACCTGGGGGTTGGGACCCCTGGGGGCGCAAGGGGGTGTCAGAGGGGTTGCCAAAGACCATCAGAAAACACAGTATTTTCTGTTGGTCCTGGGGGTTCTGTGTGGGAAGTTTGGCCCAATTCTATCATTGGTGGGGTTCAGAATGCTCTTTGATTGTAGGTGAACTATAAATCCCAGCAACTACAACTCCCAAATGTCAAGGTCTATTTTCCCCAAACTCCATCAGTGTTCACATTTGGGCATATTGAGTATTTGTGCCAAGTTTGGTCCAGATCCATCATTGTTTGCGTCCACAGTGCTCTCGGATGTAGAACTACAACTCCCAAACTCAAGGTCAATGCCCACAAACCCTTCCAGCAATTTCTTGGCCAATGGAGTTCTCTGTGCCAAGTTTGGTTCAATTCCCATTGTTGGTGGGGTTTAGAATGCTCTTTGTTTACATGTTAACTATAAATCCCAGCAACTACAACTCCCAAATGACAAAATCAATCCCCCCGCCAACCCCACCAGTATCGTTTTTGGTGACCCCCAGGTTGAGAAGCACTGCTGTAAAGGCTTGCTGAGAATCTCTGGAGAAAAAGGGATCTGGGAGATATAGCTCTTCAGTAGCAGCTGATGTCGTTCGTAAGTTGCGGGCTGCCTGTATTAGAATCATAGAATCAAAGAGTTGGAAGAGACCTCATGGGCCATCCAGTCCAACCCCATTCTGCCAAGAAGCAGGAATATTGCATTCAAATCACCCCTGACAGATGGCCATCCAGCCTCTGTTTAAAAGCTTCCAAAGAAGGAGCCTCCACCACACTCTGAGGCAGAGAGTTCCACTGCTGAACGGCTCTCACAGTCAGGAAGTTCTTCCTCATGTTCAGATGGAATCTCCTCTCTTGTATTGAACAAACGGGTTTCTTCTCTCCTCCAACAACCAGGTTTCGTGGATCTGCGTGGCTTTTCAGGAGACCATCCCAGTCCAAAAAGACAACCAACAGGAGCCCGACGGTGCCACGCTACAGCGGTTCCAGTTGATCATCACCAAAATCAAGGGCAACTCGGCCAAAGTGGTGATCGTCCTGAGCACGGAGCTGTCCCTCCTCCCCTTCTTTAGGGAAGTAATCAACCAGAACCTAACTGGCCTGGTGTGGGTGGCATCCGAAGCCTGGGCCACTGACCTCTCCATCTTCAGCATGCACAATATCTCCAGCATCGGTTCCGTCTTTGGCGTGGCGGTGCAGGACGTCCCCATCCCGGGGCTGGACGAGTTCCGCATCAAGTCACCGAAGGTCAGAGAAGCCGCCCCGCCGATGTGCAACCAAGAATGCGATGACTGCCTGTTGATCACGCGGCGCTATGATGCCAGCATCCGGGCCGCCGGCAACCGCATCGATTTCAACGTCTACTCCTCTGTCTATGTTGTTGCCCATGCTTTGCACGCCTTGCTGGGCTGCAATAAAACTGGATGCTCCAAGCAGACCTTTTACCCCTGGCAGGTGAGTGCCACATGCATGTGTTGGGGTTCAGCACGAGTTTGAACTTGAACCTGATTCTCTGTTTGTTCCTCCTGAT